AATACACAAAATAATGTTCTTTTTAGCAACATCATATGACCCCTTTAAGTGTTTTTCTTCCCACCAAAAGTGAATTTATGAAATGATAGACATCATGAAGTTACATAATAGCTGTTTAAATCATAACTGATTTCAAATAGATTATATATATATATATATATTATTTCAGCTTTGTTTCAGTTAACTAAAAACTATTTTTAATGTCACATATGTGTGTGTTTTGGTAACAGGAGTGCCACAGGTGAGGCATGGCATGAGATCATGCTGGCGTGTCTCGGAGGAATGGAGTGTGATGATAACTCTGGGAACGAGGGGCCAGAGTGCGGCAGCAACTTTGCTTATGCCTACTTTGTCTCTTTCATCTTCCTCTGTTCTTTCCTGGTGAGAACAGCCTCCACTTGTTTCTTTTCGCCTTCCTTTACCTTAATCCCACTTTTTTACACTTCCCTTTCTTTCTCAGAGATGCATCTCTTCTTTATTTATTGCTTCAAACGGTAAATAATAAATTCAGTATGTTTCTGAGCTTGCATTTTGGGGTTTGTATTTGTGTTTAGATGCTGAATCTCTTTGTCGCTGTCATCATGGATAACTTTGAGTACCTGACCAGGGATTCCTCCATTCTGGGTCCACATCATTTGGATGAGTATGTCAGGATTTGGGCAGAGTACGACCCAGCAGCCTGGTGAGTTAAACGCACATCTTTTACAAAGACTTTTTCTCTCACTCAAACACACAAAACCACACATTTTTTAAAGACGCTGTTATTCTTTTAAGCACACATGCAACCATTGATTTTTACCTTGAAATTGTAGAATGGAAAACCTACATCACTTAATACTAACAGTTTTTAAAAGGGAAACATGCTCACTGCAAGCTAACAAACACTGTAACATTCTAAAGATTCTTTCTTTCATCACAAATAAGATATTTATGTGCACACAAACTAACTCAAAAACCAATCATTCCTCTCCATAGCTGCTGACCCAAACCTTTAAGGTCTTTTGTTACTGAAAACATCCACAGAACGTCCCATAATGCTGTCCATGGTCATTTAAGATAAGGCCACTGATAGCAGATTTCAAAATCTCCAAAAGCCCAGCGTTATATCCCTCATATCCCATCAGATGTGACCTCTGCAGTCTGATTTGATTTCATGCAGATGAGCCCAATTGTACCAACTCCACAAACTCTGTCTGCCTAGTCAGTAGTGTCTCCCGCTTCCCTCTGTCCCAGTGCTTGCCTCATCTTCGAGTGCTGTTCTGCAGGAGCCCATGGAGTTGGTCTGAATGAAGGGATTCCTTACCCCAGCTCTGAGAGAGACCATTTATCCTGTTGACAATGCACGTCCGGTGATGATGATTCAGCAAAAGAAGGTTTAAGGTTTGAATTAGGGTTGTGCACCATTCAGAATAGAATTTGTATTTTTTTCCCCCAGATCAGTTCCTGAATTTGAATTGAATTTGAGTTACAGTACCAAACAAGATGTAGAATTGCAATTTGAATTTGAATGTAAATAAATAGAACTGAAATGAATCAAAATTCAAAGAAATTGATATAACTACAAGCAAAACTGAAGTTTATAGGCCTGATGGATGGATGGCCATCTATAGACATATTAATTGGACCCACTTGATATTAATTACATCTGTAATTAATTTCTGAAAGTACATTTATAATTACACTGTTGACCCATCCCTTACACCTTAACCCACCCTTAAACCTACCCATACCACCAAACCTGTCCCTAACCTTACCCGTATCCCACCTCAATAGCAGCAAAAGTGTTTGCAGTACAATATGAACACGTTTTGATGTAAGTACATAGTAGTTAAGGCCACTCAATATAAAGTGGGACCTATTAATTTATTATTAATGGACAGTATATTTCATCATATTAAAGAAATTAACTTACCAGTAAACCAGGATGGAAAGACATTTAATTTCCCAGAATGCATTACCTGCATTAAATTTCTTTAAATTACAATCCAGAACCTCTTCCTGTTATTTCGATTTAAATTCCAATTCATCTTTCTGTGGAATGTGGCCAATTCAATTCAAAGTCAAATTTATGAATTTTAAAGGGAACCAATTTTTCAATTCTGAATTTTGCATAATCCTGATTTGAACTACTTTCATTCAAAGAGTCAGAAAGAAGGAAAGATATCTGCTTTTTTTACTACAGTATACATCATTTTCAACATATTTTAACATAAAAATCACAATTTTTTATATGTAAAACATTTTTAATGTGGAAAAACAAAGTTTTCAAGTGCAACAAAATGTAGAAAAACGTAAGGAAAAATCTGCTTAACACAATAAATGTGTATAAAAACTACAGCAAGAAACCGAGAAAGTGATATAAAAGAACACAAGCAAGAGAGCTGAACATGAGACCCTGTGCATGGCAGATTCTGACTTCACAATGACTTAATTCTTCCATCTTTATGGCTCAGGTGTGCATGGCAAACATCTTCACAGACAAGCTGTCGCAGCTTATTTCTGTACTTGCCACTGCATACAAACGTTAACAAAATACACCTCATGTATTTTGACTGGTAAAGCCCGCTGTCGCTGTATGCAGTTCAATTAAGTCATTGGACTCGCCAAGATGAGAGAGCCTCTCATGTGCACGGTCATATCGGTGGATTCATTTTCTCTGCACCGTGATGGGGGGAAGATTCAGAACAATACTAAAGATCATTCAGGGACAGCGTCACCATTTTTTTTTTTTTTTTTTAATTCAATATGTAGTTATTTCATTCACATGCATAGCTAGGGTTCATTTCACTGAATTTTGACATGCATTAAAATCTCGGCTTCAGCAACATTCACATACATGTTTAAATTTATCCAAGGCAATAGTCCCTTTTAAAATGTCTAGGTTTGGATTATAGAAGTGAACTGTAGCAGGAAAAAATTCTTAGAGGTCCATAAGCATTTATTTCTAATGGTCATAACATTAAAGTATTAATGTATTTAATATGTTTTATAATTTTATTTATAAATTAGTTTGATAAATTACATTTAATATATATGTATATAACTGTATTCAAATGTAAAAACAAATAATAATAATTTTATAAAAATTGAAAATGTGTATTTTATAGAAAGACCCATGCATTTAGGATTTAGTGTTAACTAAATTTTTTTATATAAAATTTGCTTGGTTTTAATTATTCTTCATCACAGTCTTCTGAAAAGGGTCCATTGCTGGAAGAATCCAGTCTTTGTATGATCTGAACATGTTTGTTAGCTTAAAATCGGTTGGGCTGTCCTTTGAATGATCTGGTTTTCTATCGGTTTGAGGCAGTGTAACAGCCTCACTGGGTTTGGTCTGTGATTTGTCAATGGATATGTGTGCTTTTATTCTCTTGTTCTTTGTGCTCCTCTTCTTGTTTCTCTTATTTCCTTCTTCCTCTCCACCTTCTCTCTGGCTCTCTTTCTTCTCTCTCTTCCTGTGTGTGCCCCCTCTCTAACCTCCCTGTATTCTTCTTGCAGCGGGCGCATTCATTATAAGGATATGTACAGTTTATTGCGGGTTATCGACCCCCCGCTGGGCTTAGGCAAGAAATGTCCTCATAGGGTGGCCTGCAAGGTTTGAATCCTACTAAACAAAAAACTTAAGCACCTGCTCGCATTGAAGACTGGAATGAATGTTGCTTTTCTTTTTTTATGTTTCCTTTTTTCAGTTTATTTTTTACTCTCCTCCACAGTTTTCTTCTTTTACTTGAAATTCATTTTTGTTATTTTATTCGCCATCTCTATATGCATTCTGATATGACAAATGAGAATGTGCGGGACAATGCAGACACCTTTTTAGAAGCATGACGTGCACTGCCACCGACAACCAAGTCTGTATGAGTCTCTCTGTGGAATGAATCACTTTTAACAGCTAATCAAAAAAAAAAAAAAAAAAAAAACAAACGAATGAATCATCAGGCACATGTGTCCTCCGCTAGGCCTGGGGAAGAGGTGCCCAGCTCGGGTCGCCTACAAGGTTAGCGGCAGCAGCCCGCCGTGGGTGCGCCACAGCCAATCAAAGCTGTCCATTTTTTTTCTGTTAGTGTTGGTGTTGGTGAGCTGCTGTATCTTTCCTTTTATATTGTGGGGTACCGGTGAAGGTGTTAGCCAGCTGGCACATACCCGTACGCATACATCCACTGGAGAGCGGGAACGGAGGGTACCTTGTCAGCCCTTCTGCACCGTACTCAAATACTCACTCACTCACATACAGATGTAAAGGATTTTGTTGCAAATATAAAAGCAACTCTTAAATGTCATTTTGCAGTCTTGTTCTTAGAGATTATGAGTTTAATAAATTACATATTTGTTAAAATCAACATGAAATCAGAATGGACCCTTTTTAGGTCCTTACCTGCTCTTATTCATTGGCAAAGTGTTATTCAGAAAAGGTTTGTCTTTATAATCTTTCATCAAATTTTAGTAAGTAGTTCCACCTCTGCATCAACTCTAATGAATTCCTAGTGAATAAAATCAAGTCACCCTCTACTTCTGTTCTCACTGAATTTCCTGTTTCACTCATGAATGTTACATTGCAGAAGTAAAGTGGGTTGCGAATGCTGTTTCATGTTGACTTTAACTAGAAAACAAGGAATCCTGTATTATTTCCACATTACGTTTTCCATGTTCATTGCAGAAATAGAGCCTAATTTTAAATACAAATATGAAGGATGTAGACACAAATATATATGTTTTACTGTGTGCGTGTACAGAAGGACTGGGAAGGATCATGTGCCTTTGGTCCTCTGCGTCTCTCCCTCCAGTGGATGATACCTAAAGTCTTCAGATGATTTCGACAGCTGACACTTTCGTAGGTTCAGATTCAGCGTTCAGGAGTCTTTAGACCCACTTTGTCCTTTTGATTTTTTTTCAGCAAATCCACTAGAATCACAGATAAGCTTTCCCACCTGTCCTTCGTTTGATTCTGTCAATGCAGTTCTGACCTGTTTCCGTTCCCCTCTCTCTTACTGTCTCTCGCTCTATCTCTACTTTTTCCCCACATTCCTTAAGTTTGCATTTTCAGCCACTACATTTCTACATCCCTGCACAAAAATTCCTCCTCCTTTTTTTTCTCTTGCTCTCTCCCTCTTTCACTTCCTGTCTTCCTCTCCCTATCTATCTTGCATTTCTTCACTTTTAATCAGCATGCTTCTTAATTATGTAAGTAGTAGGAATCTGAATGCATACTTGTGTGACAATTACATCCAGCCATTTTACATGTCACGTTCATCATATTAATGCTGTGCACCTTAGTCAGGGTAGATGGCATGTTTAGTTTGAGGTGAATGAAAAGGTGAATGTTTTTTCATACGAAATATCATGTGTCACTGTCATTTTGCAGGTGGATGCTGTTATCAATATCCCATAATATATATCTTTATAGTCTTTTTTTATACTGTCCAAAACCGAGGATTTGTTGCCACATCTTTCACCAATTACTGCATAGTGAATTTCAAATACAGTACCGTTCAAAAGTTTGAAGTTTTTAAGATTTTCTCTTATGCTCACAAAGGCTGCATTTATTGGATCAAATATACTATAAAAAAGTAATATTGTGAAATATTATTACAGTTTAAAATAACTATTTTCTTTAATAATATATTTTATAATATATTTTAAATTGAAAAATAACGGCAAAGTTGAATTTTCAGCAGTCATTACATTTGTAATAGAATAGATAGAAATATTATAAATTATGTCTAATTTATACATTTATAAACATTAAAATGAACATTATACATGTCTTTACTGTCACTTTTGATCATTTAATGCATCCTTGCTGAATATAATATCAATAACTATATATAGATATTATTAAAAAAAACATTTTTAAATCTTACTTGCACTAGACTTTTGAATGGTAGTGCATTTAAGGACAAAGTGCACATTTCTGAGGGGAAAAAAACTACTTGAAATCTTATTTGACTGTTCAGACTGAGAATGGAAAACATCAGATTTCATTGCTGTTCACATGACAAAAAAAATAAACATGTTTTAGTCAGATATGCAAAGAAAATCATTCCTAGATTGCAGCTATTTTTTCTTTTTAATATTTTCTGGAGTTTTTTGCCTACTGCACGTGTCATCAGCTGTACACAACGACACAACGATACGTAGAACTTGGACAGACTATCTATATTTTGCATCTAATTAAAAAATGGCATCTACACTAAGACACTAAGATTAAAAGAACAGACTTCCTCTATGGTAGACATTTTGCGAAATGTAATTTAATTATGATCTGACAAAGTTTTGCTGAGACTCCCTTCACTCCAAACTCTTCCTTTCACTTTCCTCACTCTCTTATTGTTTCCCCTCATCTCAAACAAACAGCATTCTTCTTTTTCTCTCTTTCTCCTCTCAGACCTTCTCTCTATCCATTGCCAAGCACACCATTCCCCCCTTTCTCATTATTTTTCTATGTGGTACACATCTCATAGCTTTCCAGTCTGAAGTGAACTAACTTCTATACCTGTTGCCCCTAATCCAGTCCTACACTTCTCGGTGTACAACACAACCATTTCCCCCTTTAACTCTGAAGGGAATGCCACCCCTTGTTCTGACCTTCAAAAACTGCACCCGTTTTGCATCGAGAGATCAGAAGAAGAAAAAAACTGTAATTAACCCTATGAGAAATCACCCAAAGAAAGATAAAGATGCTAAACAAACCCAGTAATACAAGTGGTCAATGAAAGATAAAATGATACTCTCTGTGCGCGGCTGCACTGCTCTTGTTCTGTGAGGGGTGGGGAGGGAGGAGGGGGGTGCATGCAATGCATGCTGCATGGAGTAGGGGTTGATGTTCGGGGGGGCTGTGATCGGTGGGGAGGACGGGTCGTACCATTGCTGAACTCCGATTAGGGGTCGTGCTGCATTGCATGTGCTTTTGCATGGCCACCGCTGGAACGCGGCTCATGCTCGTTGGTATCTACACCTGCAAGGAACGACGGACTGGTCTGAAATGGGCACACAAATATACACAGGCTCACAAACACATGCTCACTTCCTCACACTAACGCCATGTTGTGTGCTTGTGTGTTCCAGTTCCATGAAGGTACATCCAATGCATGAAACCGGCATCTAAAAACAACTTTTTATGTGCCCTTTCGTTCATTGGTTTATCCTAAATATATGAACTCCGACAGGTAGGGGGAGCTCTTTAGCAGTAGCCTTTTGTGACATTTGTGTCCTCAGCCTTTGCTAGCTGATTCAAGGTCAGTTGAGGGGAGGGCGGGTCGTACCATCGCTGAACTCCAATTAGGGGTCGTGCTGCATTGCATGCGCTTTTGCATGGCCACTGCTGGAACGCGGCTCATGCTTGTTGGTATCTACACCTCCAAGGAACGGCGGACTGGTCTGAAATGGGCACACGCATATACACGGGCTCACTCACACATGCTTACTTCCTCACTCTAATGCCATGTCGTGTGCTTGTGTGTTCCAGTTTCATGAAGGCACATCCAATTCATGAAAACCGGCATCTAAAAACAACAATCCACTGTTTTTAGGTGCTCTTTCATTCATTGGTTTGTCCAAAATATACAATCTCCAACAGGTAGGGGGAGCTCTTTAGCAGTAGCCTTTCATGAGTATGTTGAATTTAGCTGCCATTTGTGCCCTCAAGTCTTTACTAGCCGATTCAAGGTCAATTGATTGCACTTTATAGGGTCCCAAAAAAGTATTTTCACACTTTAAAATGTACAAATTTGCAGTAGATATGGATTAACAAATCAGTTGGCAGTGCCAAATAAGACAAATTTATGCCTGATCTGAGATTAGTTTTCACAGGCAGAGGAACACAGAAGAGATGACTTCATCCCCTGTGGTACTGCTCCTGTTATCTGTGAGGGCTCCAATTAAGTCACATAATTGATGTGTATGTTCTGTATATGTTCTATGAGCTGTGTGAATGGTTCATTCACACATTATAAGGTTGCATATTGTTGGTCAGTTATTTGTCAGTCTAAGAAAACTGCTCTCACAGAGGCCAAATTAATCTTTCCGTATATACCTTTTTGTGTGGTTGTTTGAGTATCACCATAGAGTAATTACATGATGCATTGTTTGTACACAACCACTACATAAATTTTTTTTTTTTTATTTAATTAAAAAAAAAAATAAATACAGTCAAACCTGCAATCAAATTACCTATTTAAAAACTTAATCTCCTGAAAATTGTGTAGCCAGTAATTTATTCTTTGGCTACAAACTGCTGAGCTCCCCAAGCCTTTTATTAGTCCACCAAAAGCATCTGATTGGCGGTTTAACTTACACAGCCCCCCGCCCTCATCCCCTCTCATTGGCTCTTCACAGAGACTGCTACGCATGGACCTACCTGTTGCAGATGACAACACAGTGCATTTCAACTCCACTCTGATGGCTTTGATACGCACAGCTCTGGACATCAAAATCGCTAAGGGTACAGAACGACATCCCTCTTTCTTTTTTCTTCCTTTCTTTCTTTCTATCTGTCTTTTATTTTACTAAAAGTAAGAACTAAATAAAAGGTCATATGTATCATTAAATGTATAGATAATAAATATGGATAGATAAAAATCATAAAAATAAAAAAAATGTAAATCTCTTTTTTTGTGGAAAAATAAAAGAAAGAAAATTATCTTATTTTATTTTTTAAACAGATTTGAGGTCCCTTTTCTTTCTTATTTCTTTCTTTCTTTCTTTTTTCTTTCTTTCTTTCTTTATATAAAAAATTAAATATTAACGAAAACACCCTTTCCGGTGTGTCTCCTGTATCTTCTGAATGAATGTGATTGCAAATTTGTTTTTGTGATATTTTATTAATATTGGGTTGGTGCTTTTGTTATATTGGCATATTTTGTTTGTCTATACATATGTGCATGCGTATGTGTGTGTATGTACCCTGCTCTGACATCACACGCTTACAGGAGGCGCAGACAAACACCAGATGGACGCGGAGCTCCGTAAGGAAATGATGGCGATTTGGCCAAATCTCTCCCAGAAGAACCTGGATCTGCTGGTAACACCACACAAGTGTAAGTTGCAGATTGGTTTGTAAGGAAAAAAACTAATCAAAGATCACCAATTCATCAGAGGACAGCTTCTGTCAGCCCACACCGCTCAGCACCCTCTGATCAGGCAACACTTTCAAAACCTTTAACTAATCCTTCCCCCATCCCCACATGACGCATGTCTTACACTGTTCATTAGATCAGTAATACCATGCCTTACTATATTAATACTATTTAAAACCATCCTGTTTCCTAACTATATGATTTATTGCTTATGAGGCCTTGTTTCTGTTTACATCTGACTCTCAACATGACTTGAGTAGTTTGTTTTGGAGTATATAAAACGGTATACATCCTTTTCGCCATCCTCATTTAGACCTTTTAAATAATTGTTCATCCACTTTTAAACTACATATCCTCCATTTCTCCAACCTCTCTCCTTTTCTTTCTCTTCCTTTTTCCTCTTCATTGTCTGTTATCAGGGGGTGCCTCGCTATAGATGGATCCTCTATAGAAGTCTTTTCACTCCAGCATGTGTAAAGCACTAAGCTGGGCTTAACCTCCAAACCACAGAGCCTTAAAACAGTGTAGCCCGAGTTATTAACTCATATCTGAGGGTGATTACAGATGTTAGAGACTTTACATTTTAATGAGATGACCAGAATATATTGAAATCTGTGTATATGATCTATGACAAGTAGCTGAAATACATTTGTGTGCTTTCCTTTAGCATGTTTTCTGTTTAATTTGAAATTTCAGCATGTTTTAGAGTTATTTTTTAAAGTTTATTTTTGATCCCTGGTGGGTTTCAAGCCAATTTTACTATGAAATTGTCCTAATAAGAAAGTTTTTTATGTAAAGGGGTTTCTTTTTGTCATTTATGGCAGCTCAAAATTTTTCAAATTTATGTTTTGTGTCTCATTCAAACTCTGGATACCACTGCAGAGTTTTGATGAAAAATTTGAGCTCCTCACAAAATAGTGTAATCCTAAATAGTGTTCTGATATTGTTGCCTCATTCGTGGCATCTGTCCATAGTTAATTGGCTTGAGTCCCTGTAGGAATTCAATATAGGCTAGAAATGTGAAGCTATATAAGGTACTTGAGAAAAATAAGAGGCTTTAATTAATGAGGATCTGACTGTGAAAAGACTATCAGCCCTGTGACACATTGTATTTGTCAGTGTACTTTGTCTAGTGTCTGTTGTGTAAAATGTTTATTAGTTGTGTATATATGTTGCTGTATATACAGTGGCACCAGAAAGTATTTGGGCACTTAAGCCATACTAAAATGTTTTGATTGTTATTGCATTTGGTAGCAGCATACCAGGTGGCATTTATTTTAACTAAAGCAAAATATTTTACAAAAAGTTGACAAAAGTTGGTTAAATGTCACTGCAAATATGCCTAAGAAAAGTACAATTAATTAGTGATATTTTGCTGTCTATGCAATGACATTCATACTTGTATAACTGTGATTTAAGAGACTAGATCTAAATTTTGGGGCAGCTGAATTTGAGTAATTTGTCGTGTACCTGTTGTCTAGATTCTCAGTCCCAGATTAAGACTCATTCTGGACTATGAAGAACTTCTGTTGGTTAATTCCCATTGAGGTTTCTTGTGAGGTCATGATTGAGTTTAGTCTGGGTCTGAGGGACTAGGCCTTTGTGTTTGTGGCATGCCTTGTCTCCAACTCCCATTCCCCTCTCGGCTCAGGGTCCCATTCCACCCCGGTCTAATTGTACAGGGTAACTTTTTCATCCTTTCAGCAGCGACAGACCTGACAGTAGGCAAAATCTACGCCGCCATGATGATTATGGAGTACTACCGGCAGAGCAAGGCCAAAAAGCTGCAGGTGCTTCGTGAGGAGCAGGTACAACTTCAGACAAACAAACAAATGCCAAGTCTGCTCTCCTTTCTCAACCTTTTGCAACTCTTATCCCAACAAAGCATGTAGTCTAATTAGTCAAGTTTGCAGCTGATTAGCTTTGCTAATCAACAGTGGTAACAGCCTGTCCACGCAACAATCTTAAATCTGTTACCTTCTGACTTATTGGCTATGTCTGAAACTAATTAAAAATATTAATACAAATATAAATTTTTAGGAGAAACATTTCTGTTTTTATGCTCATTTTGAAAAGTGTGTTTTTGCATTTGGTGCTTTCTTACAGCCTTTTTATGAGATATTCCAAAATAGGCATAAAAATACATAGTTGAAAACCAAACTATTCACAGACTAGGCAGTTAGGCAGCTGCCTGCAGTTTCCGGCACAGCCAATGTCTCCTTCACTCTGTTGTATGCTGATATTAGTGCTTATTAAATATAGGATGTACACTACTGTTCAAAAGTTTGGGCTAGGTAAGATTTTTTCTGTTATTTTTAAGTCTTTTATGCTCAGCAAGGCTGCATTTGTTTGATCAAAAATACAGTAAAAATAGTAGTATTGTGAAATAGTATTACATTTTAAAATAACTGTTTTCTATTTTAATATATTTTAAAATGCTATTTATTCATGTTATGATCAAGCTGAATTTTCACCAGTCATTTCTCCAGTCATAAATCATTCTGGTATGCTGATTTGGTGCTCAGTATTATCAATGTTGAAAACAGTTTTGCTGCTTAATATTTTTGTGGAAACTGTGATACATTTTTTAGGACTATTTGATGAATAAAAAAAAGTATTTATTTGAAATAGAAATCTTTTGTAACATTTTAATGTCTTTGCTGTCTGCTGTCACTTTTGATCAATTTAATGTATTCTTGCTGAATAACAATATTAATCTTTTTTTTTTTTTTTTATCTTGCCGATCCCAAAGTTTTAAACAGTAGTGTATTTCACTTCCCACATGGAGCACAATGGGTTAAAAGATGTACATGCAAATTCTTTGATATTTTAGTGCTTTTATGGCATGGAAAAAATAACACTGATTATAGACACGATCATTTCACATTTTATTTACAGAGTTAGAGCATGCTTAAAAACACATGCAGTAATTAATAAGGGTATATGCAATGATGAATGATACAACATGGCCTTTTGTCAGTGTCACTCCTGCCCCCTTCCCTAGAAAAGTTCCCATCCTGTACAGGCACAGTGTCCATTGTTTCTGCCTGCATTTTCAATTTAGTAATACTTGGTGCCTTCATATATCTACCACAAAAAGCATGGACACTCTGCCGGCATCTGGGAATGGTCTAAATCTATGTTTGTGTCTTGCCTCACCTGATTCCCTGTCTGTATCTTTACCTGTCGTACTTCACTTGATCGCACCTGTACCTCAGCGCCTTCCTCTCAACATCAGCTGCGCTTTTGTGGCTGTCTCACTCTCTATATCCATCCCTGATGTCTCTATATCTATGTCTGTCAACTTGTTTGCATTTTAACTAATTCTTTTTGATCTTTCCTCCTTGTTTCCATCCTTTTTGACTTGTTGGATCCACTGTCAATCTCTTGTTCTTTTTTGTTTTGTGTAATTTTCTCTGTCTGTTTTGTCTTGTCTTCCTCCATTTGTTGATTGGTGAGGTTGATTTATCAGTTTCACTAAGATGGAATCTTTTCTCCCTCCGTGTGGACACCGTTTGTCTAGCCAAATATTTTCATTAATGGATGTTGAGGGGAGGTTCTTGGTGTAACCTTTGGGCTACCACAGTCTCTGAGATTTCTAGTGTTCATAGTTTAAGTTTCACCCACCCACAACGTGTAGTTCTGCAAGTATGAACCTCAGATCTTCACTGTAGCATGCCCAAATTGTTACTACCACCCATATCTTCCGGTGGGTTGGATGGAAATGCTTTGAGCCATCAGTACCTACCTAGACAGCACAGCCCCAATGGAGGACTCCATTCAGGTTGGTGAGGGCACAGGAGGACTCCATTTCCCATGATGCCCTCTGGGGGATCTCTGCTGTCTGATACCTCACCACCTGTGTAATGCACGGTGGCTTGTGTTTGTTTCCCCATATCCCATGAGTGTGTCTGATCCCAGCTGCAGGCCATGTTCGTATCTCACACAGAACCGAACGCCATTAATGTTTCAGCGCTTGGAGCCATCCCCGAACCAGGAAGGGGGACAGGGGGTTAACGATCTCCCCGAGTTGCCGCAGGAACCTGTCAACAGCCTGTGAGTAGCATCTTGATCTTTTTATGCAAGTGATGTTTTTATTAGCCTTAAGCTTAATCTGTCTGAGTCAGTCTCATGAAATCATATCCAGGTCATATTTCATCCCAAAAGCAAATTCAATATTAAAACATTGTTTGTTGCATTAATAAAAAATTAAGCCTATGTACCATTTCATTGTGACATTGTTCATAAGAATTAAGCGCATTTTCCTCCGAATTGCTTTAATAAATACAGACACTTTGCTAACAATTTTTAAAGCCAATTATTTTCTAAAAAATCAATTATAAATTATAAATTAGAATCGTTTTATAAAATTAATTCTAAAAAATGTATAAAATAAAAGAAAATGACTGAAATACACATTTTTTTAGTTAAAAAGTAATAAAAAATTTAAATTTTAAGTACAAAATTCTAAATGTTATAAAAGAGTACGTTACAGACAGCACAACAAATACTACCATTATGTATAAACATTCAACAATTTAAATAATATGTATTTTCTCATATATGTGTGTGTATTTTTTTACATGTATTTTTCAGAGTAATGAAAGTCTGTCATTAAATGTGCTTAACTGGCATGAAAACAATGTCAAAATTATAAATTGTACAAAATAGACATTCATTTCTGTGTGCAAAATATATTTTCTTATTTTTCCTTTTCAACTTGGGGTAAAATATTACCTGAACCTGAGAGGTTTTGTGAGATTCACCTGTTTCAACTGGTGCTCTTTGTCTCTTCTTTCACTGCTTAGCTTTGCTTTTAATTGTTGTCTTTCTTCTCCTTATAGGCTGCACTTCTGCTCTTTCTTTGTTTTACCTTCTCTCAGCTGTCTCTCACATTACGTTTCAATTCTTCGATATACGTCTATCTGCTTTTGTATTAATTCTGCAGTATATACATATATACATTTGTAATTGTGTTTCTGTTATATTTTTGTCTGCAAAAGGCATTTTGTACGCAAGTGTGTGTGTGATTGAGTAAATGAATTAACCAGCCAACATCTTTCTCTGGTTCAGGCCTCTGGAGGGTGGAATGATCGAGAGCCAGTCGTGGGTGACGTCACGAGCCCAGGAAATGTTCCAGAAGCCTGTTCCGGAAAACTGGAACCCTGACAGACCGTATCCTGAAGACCATAACGACAGCCGCCACAATCCACAGGTAATATCAGAGAACCTCAGATCAGAAAGGCGATTTTGTCTTGTTTAGATCTGAATTAAAAATTTTAGCAGGAGTTGACTCGGACACTTGAAACCCGCCAAAGTGGCCGTGACTATATCAGCTTCTCTCAGCCTTTGGTGTTAAAAGAACTGTGTGCTTGAGCCAATCACTGTCTTCCCAGCCATCGTCCCTTTTTCGCTGCTTTTGGACACACTTCTCATTCATATTATCACTCTTTCTATCTCTTCTGTCTCTGTCGGTCTGTAGCTTACCTCTTTATCTGTCTGATAAATCATTCTGAACTTCACTGACCATCGTAGACCGTTTGTATAGACCCTCCCACCTCTGCCAGACTGCAGGGATGTTTCACTGCTTGCCTGCTTCCTCACTGTCTGCTGGATCGTACCAAACCCCCTCCAGACTCATCTCTCCTTCAGTGTGACTCTTCTCTGTAGCTCAGCAGTCATCCAACCCTGATGTTTCCCTGCACTAGCAAAGGAGATGCTGAATAAACAGCTTTAGGCTTAACAAGCATGTTGGAAAGTACTTAAACCAGTAGTGGGCAATCAGACAGGGTCAGTGTGCACCTAGTTTCAGCCTACAAGAGATCGGTTAACAAAAGCTGTGACCTGACGCGATCTAGCCAGTACTGTGAAATTTTAGGCCAAACCTCAAATCACATATATGTTTTATTTCACCACTTTGGTTATTTATGCAAAACAAGTTATGCTAAATTTGTAATATTAATTTGTTTTTCCATTAATTTACAACTCCTAAACCTAAAATTACACAGAAAAATTGGATTATTGAAAGATTATCAGATTTTGTGTTGGAGTTAGGTCATATTTAATTTGGGATTTTGAATTTGTAAAGACAAAAATCAAATATATAAAGCAGAACAACAGCTATTTTTTATTTTATTTTATTTTTTATTCTTGGCTGGAATAAGCCGCGATGTGAGCTGATAGTCAGAGACTAGTGTGCACCTGTTCTTTTATTCCACTCAGTTAGTGATATGCATCATTTGGTAATGGCTAATGACTAGCTCAAGCGTGCTAATCTTCAGCTGAAACGCACTTTTGCGCATGATATTGCCCTCTACTGTTTTATCCCACCCGATAGAGCCGTAGGCCGGTGAAGCAGGCATCAGCACGGCCCACATGCTGTTGATCTGTTTTGCAGACGGTAGAAATGAGAGAGATTGGGCCTGTTGGGGACGGTTACTCGGACACTGAGCCCTATCACCCAATGGAAGGGCATGGGCGGACCATCTCCATGCCACGCCTCTCAGCAGACAACCAAGTGAGCACCTTCATCCTTTCATCCATCCATTCACCCATTTTGTCTTTCCATCTTTTATCTGTTATCATCCATTCCAATATCCGTCCTCAGTCAGTTATCCAGCTAACAGCCTTTGACAGCTTCAGTTGGGGGGACCAAACTTCAAAAGTTTGGTGTGCTGTCATGCTAACAAGTCAATGAATGTTAGCATGTCTTTGTCAAAGGGCTCATGGATAAGTGGCTCACACCCTGACCTTCACTTACATGCGTGTGTGTGTGTGTGTGTGTGTGTGTGTGTGTGTGTGT